GATGACACTCAGCATGGAGGCCCCAGAAATGTTCACATTTTTCCTCAACTGAAGATTCCCCACCACTGGGGTCAAAAGGATGCTCAGCTGCCTCTCTTCACTCCCACAACAATGGTATGGTCTCTCTGATTCTCACTTTCCACTCCACCAACCTCCATATCCAAAGGATCATAAACTACCATTTCCACCACCTCAAGTGGGATGCCACATTAGACACATTGTCAGCATTCTGTAGGGACCATTCCCTCCAGGACACCCTGGCTCCTCCTACACTCCCAACACCTCCCCACACCCCCATAGCACCCATGAAATCCCAGAAAGTGCAATATTGCCCATTTACCTCAACAAAGGCTCCAGACACATCTTTCAGGTGAAAATGTGATTTACCTGCCCTTTATTCAATCTGTACTGTATTCGCTGCTCACAATACGATCTCCTGTGCAGTGGGATGACAAAATGCAGACTGGATGACTGCTTTGCCAAACATCAATGCTCTTTCTGTAAAAATGACCCCAATGTTCCAGGTGCCTGCCATTCCAATATGCCACCGTGTTCCAAAGCCAACATTTCTGTTTCAGGCCTGCTGCAGAGCTCCAGTGATGCTCAATGTAAGCTAGAGGAATAACAACTCATCTTACAGGTACCTTACAGCCTTCAACATTCAGTTCAACAATTTCAGAATGCAAACAACCTCCTCTATGTTTGTTACCTTCCCCATGCACAGCCCCCCCCACCCCGCCACACTCTAGGCCCTGATTTGTATGGGTTGCTCCCAGCACAGCCAATTTTTAACCCTTTCACACCATACTCAGTATTTATCACTCCCTCAGCTTATCATCAGCAATTTCGTTATTTGCCTTTTCCCTTTCTCTCTTTCTCTTAGCACTGTCTTTATATATTCTATTCACTCCTCCCCCCAACTCCATACCCTTACCAGCACAGATACTACCCTTTCCCACTATCTTCACTTCTGACAAGGGCCATTGAACTAAATAAGTTTATTCTATTTTTCCCTCTACAAATGCTGCCAGACCTGCTGAGTTTCTCAAGCACTTTTTCTTGTTTCAGATTTCCAGTTCTTCGCTTTTTAATTGAATATAGTATCTTACTATCCTGCAGCATACCAAGAGATGCACCTACTGACTGAACTACTGGGGCACTATTCTCAAAGGATAGTTAAGAGATTATGTGCATTTTAGGAACATGTTACTTAGAGATCTAAGATTGAAGTTTACTCCCATTGGAGATTAGAAAATTGAAAGGTGGTCTCATTGGAACAGAAAATATCCTGAGAGGATTTAACATTTAACAAGGTTGATGATCAGTCGATGTTCCCCTTTGATGAGAGTGTCTAGATGTAGGGAACATGATTTAAAAATTAGGGGTCTCCTATTTAACACAGAGATGAGGAGAACTTTTACTTCTGTCAGAAAGTTTATGGTCATGGAATTCTCTTCCCCAGAACAGCACTGGAGTCTCAGTCATTTGAATATAATTAAGGCTAAGTTATACAGATATTTGATTGATAACGGAGTCAAGAGGTTTGGGGATAAACACAAAAGTGGAGTTGGGGTAATAATCAGATTGCTTGGAATGGCAGAATAGGTTTGAGGGGCCTTCTCATGTTCCTACCTCTTCTGACTATTGACAAGAACGAATGGGCAATTTTAATAATTTATGGAACAGTAATTTGCTAATATTTATAAAGACTTTTCTCCTACGTGTTTGAAGTGAAAGTGATGAACTGAAAATATTCTAATAATTTGTCGACATGAGCATGCACAATGACAAGTCAAATTCCGCACATATTTGGTCATGTTTAAGTTTTTTCTTCAGCTTTTATATGTTTAATAAGTAAATCACCTATTGTTCATTGGCAATGTCCTTTTCTGAGTTTGTGATTAGGTACCTTAACATCAAACTCGATTTCTTTCAGTATTACACACATTTTAGGACAGTATCTTCTTTTTATTGTTAATGGATGTTTGCATAATTTTTTTTGTGCCTGAGCACTGCACTTAGAAGATTCCATGCCCTTGCAAATGCAGCTGCAATTCTTGTAGAATACTTCTCAATTAATGCAAGTCTTTCCCCATGGGAATTTTGACTCTTAAGCCAAGGGTTTTTATCACATCGCATGATTGTTGTGGTTCTATTGGTTAGTAATGAAGTTTCAATATCTGTAATATATAATAGAACATAAATTATAATAACTCACTCTTAACAACATCATGGGTGTACCTACAACAAAATAACTGCAGCGATTCAAAAAGGCAGCTCACCACCACCCCCTTGAGGGCAACTAGGGATGGGTAATAAATACTGGCCCAGCCAATGAAACAGACATCCCATGAATGAATAATTAAAACAATCCTTCTCCAGCATCTAGCTTTCCAAGAAATACTGTGAAGCAAAAAAAACAAAAGGTGTTGTTCTGACTGATTTCACTGGAAAGAACAGTACTAGGATAATTTTTTACAAACGCACAAACAGCTGAATAGATAGGCAGTCACTGAAACATTTGGGGATGGGACAGAGTAGACCTCTAGAGCGGGTATGCTGATGATTCAATAGGAAAATATGGGCTTGGATTGAACACCAGAAAATGGTGAAAATCCAGAGGTCTTAGAAGTGTGAAAGATATAAACCAATATTCAAAGGTCAATCCTCTAAGCAATCAACACAGGCATTCTTCAGAATGTGATACTTAGAAGAATAAGAAACTTTCCCAAGAATAATGAGCGCAAATCAACTAGTCCTAGGCTAAAATACTTATTGATTTGCAGGATGGCTCCATTCAGAACAGGTAATTCAAAACAAAGTGGATGCAATGTTTATGGACAGAGATTTACCAAACAGAGATTCCAAGCTATCTACACAAACTCTCCAGAGGAAAATGAAGCAACCTACTATTATGTTGAGTCACGAGAATGAAGTTCTTGGGATAATTTAAAGCAACTGAGGCAACTTACGGTGTAGTGGCTGATGGAGCTGGGAATTTGAAATAAAATTGTTAGAGGAACAGTGGGTTTGTATAGGAACATGTGGTTAGACAAAATAACTGAGAGTGGCAAGTCCATGGAACATTTTGCAACTTTTGCCAGACTTTTGTCTTCGATAACATGCTTCTCTCTTTTGGTTCTGGTTGACTGTGCATTATAACTCTCTTCCTACATTATTGGAGGCCAAAATGTCTCCTTTTACTCCACACTCTGGATATTTTCTCCAAACTGATTTGTCTCATCATCTATCCTCAAGTCTCCTTAAAAATCTATATTCATGACTCTGCTATTGATAATTCCTATGTTCTGCTTCTATTATTATTTATCTCAGACATCTCCTCGTGGGTGTCGTGCTGTGAAAGGTCTTGGGTTTTTTTGCTTTTCAAATTCTAGTTACTATTTATCACAAATGTTTCTCTTCATTCCCTGTTTCTCCAATACAGCTACAGTCATTGTGTGACAAACACTTAACTCTTGTATTGTTTTGAAATTTCAGGTGAACATTGTCACACACCAATTCTCCTACTGGATCATCCTCATGGCGAATTTAATATCCATTGTCCATCCTACTCTTATTTCTTCTATCCCATCATTACAGAGGCATGGTTACAAGAGATCGAATGCAGGAACTAAATATTTGGAGGTATATAACTTTTCAAAAGGACAGGCAGGATGGAAAAGGTGACCTACCCTGGCAAGTCTCCTAAAAATCTTCTGTGTTTCAATAAGGTCGCCCCTCATTCTTCTTTATTTCCAATGAGCATAGGCCTAACCTACTCAACCTCTCCTCATAAGATAGCCCCTCCACACCTGGTATCAGCCTAGCGAACCTTCTCTGGAGTGCCTCCAAAGCCAGTATGTCTTCCATAGATAAGGACCTGAAATTGTTCAATAGTTTTAGCAAACTTTTATACTCCATTCCCTTTGAAATAAAGGCCAACATTCAATTTGCCTTCCCTAGTGCCTGAACTTAGATTTTTTTTGTGATTTATGGAGTAGGACTCCCAAATTCCTCTGTTCCCTCGCTTTCTGTAGTGACTCCCAAATTCCTCTGTTCCCTCACTTTCTGTAGTCACTCCCAAATTCCTCTGTCCCTCGCTTTCTGTAATCTTTCTCCATTTAAATAACAGCTCCTATTTTCTTCCTGCCAAAGTTCATAACACCACATTAGATCCCACCTGCCAAGTTTCTGCTCAGTTGCTTAACCTCTCTATGTCTCTTTGAAGACTCTTCGTGTCATTCTCACCATTTGTCTTCCCACCTTTTTTTGGATCATCCACAAACTTGGCCATGGTACATTCACTTTCCTCATCCAAGTCAACAATATATATTGTAAATATTTGTGGCCCCAGCATCGGTCCCTGTGGCTCATCACTAGTTATGAGTTTCCACTCTGAAAATGCCCCTCTTATGACATCTCTTAGTCTTTTATTACTTAGCTAATTTTCTACCCATGCTAATACGCTCCATATTATTGGAAGTAATGTAAGTGTTCCTTCAAAAGCTTTTAAAATGTGGTCACTCTGTTATAATGTAGGAAATGTGGTAACTGATTATTATAGAGTCCCACAAACAGTAATATGTTAATAATCACATAACCTATTTTCATGATGTTGGCAAAGGGATAACTATCAGCCTTGGACACCAAAACTCCACATTCTAGCTCTGATGACTGAACGTATACCACTTGACAACCAAATATCATTTGCAAGGCAGTCATATCTCTACCGTGGGTCTCGAACTCAATCTTCTGATTTAGACGCAAGCGCTCTTCCCACTCATCCATGATGACACATAGAATTAGACAGCAACTCAAAACATCAAAGATTGGACTGCAACTATGCATTATTCTAATTCGGAGTTCTTCCTTCACGCAAGCTCCCCGTCTTCTTCAGTTTTTTTCAACGACAGTCTTAAAAAACATCTAAAACATCGAAACATAAATCGCACATCAAAAACCAATGATTTCCAAAGCAGAAGATCTTTTTTTACACTTACTTGCGTCTTATCGTATATCAGTTATTAAGATTTTCAACTAATATTGCTCATCAGGAGATGATTTGGTAAAGCTGACCGCTCAGCAGATCCCGACAATTTGATGACATGTTCTCACTATTTTCTCAACAGCACAGTTTTGCAATAAGACGGAAGTGAAAATAATGTTAGTAGCTAATCTGAGCAATAGCAAATCACTTGCCACAACAAATTCTTCGCCCCAAATCTTTGGTAGATATGATTTCAGCCATCTCCATGCATTGACTTAAAAAAACCTCAGACACAACATTCACTAATTAATATTACAGATCTGACTGGACCGAGAGAACGTAAACACTAGGGCTAAATTCCTATTCCCTATCAAACATAATAACGCGCTGAAAACATTATTCAGCATTTACTGCATGTAATAAGTACTGGGGCAATGCTTTTGCTGCAGATTGGTCAGGCTCTGCGGAGGGTGGTTCTCCCACTCACTCGGTTGGGGGTCGGCTCTAGCACTAAGAACTAGGCCGCAGTGCCACATACCCCCTTTCCTCAAAGGCAATTGGTTGCTGGCTGACCTCGTAGCCAATAGGCGATGCGTTTATTAAAAGGGCCGTGGTAACAGGCACTTGACCCGCATCACCGGGTCTTGATGCTGTGAGGGGGATGGCGTAAGTTTTATCATTGTCGATGTGTCGGTGCAATTAATGCTGGAAGGGCCAGCTGCCCCTTCCTTTTCTCTGAATATACGGTACGTTCTTAACTTTATGCGGAGCCTCTCTCCGCCATGAGTAGCGGGCCTAAAATTTTTGTCCAAGAGTCATAAACAATTGTCACTATTGTAGCTTTTACTTCGTGTGAAGTTAAGTATTAAATTAAGCTTAACCTTTTCTAGTTAATTGTTAATATGGAAACTTAAAAAAAAAACTTAATAAACGCACTTAAATTGGGCAATTACCGTTTAACAAATGCAGTAATATTCAGAACGTGTGTATTAGAGCCACAGGAAAAGTTTGACCTCCTTGTTATCACTGGTGTGCAAATAACTCGAGCTGCGAATTGACCTTGGCTTTTTTTTTCCCCCCGATTTTTGACTCCAGTTGGGCTGTAGTACCAGATTGGGCATTACCATTGCTCCAGGCCTACAGCATTCCAAGTGGGTCAAACCAACAAATAATAACTATAAATAGGATGGAATTCTGTTGATAGTAAGGGGCTTGTTACCAGAACTCTGAGCCACTTCCGCCTAAATGACAACATTTAGTATTGAAAATACCAGACTACTCAATATTAAAACAAAACAAAACAAAACAAACCAATGAACTGTGGATGCTGCAAATCAAACAAAAACGACTGCTGGGGAAAGCTTAGCAGGCTGGCAGCATCTGTGGAGAGAAAGTAGAATTAATGTTCCTTCAGAACAGAATTAACCCCATGCTGGACATGGCTCTGCATTGCAAACTGGCCTCCTGCCCCCAATAATCATTGAATACTCTCTTGAATGCCTTGATTTAACCTACAACAACCACATTGTTTGCAGTTTGACACATCAGATTCATTTATGACTCCATATTCAGTTTGAAGTGCTGACTGCCTCTTTCCAAATGTGGCTGTCACTAATTTGGAATTAAATTTTCATTTTTGCATAAAACTATATATTGTTTCTAGATATGGAAAATTCCACTGTTTTGTGGCAATTTTTACCTTGCAGATGATTCCAATATGGCAAAATAAACCTTATGGATCCTCTCGCAGTGTCGTCCGAATGATTGGATCAAATCTCCCTTTGAAACCATGTCCTCGAGTTTGTTTTCAGGTAATATGTGCTGTTTAGATAGTAAATGTTTAGCTTTATGATATTGAAAAACATTAGTACTGGAGTGTAGAGATAAGGTGTAGAGCTGGATGAACACAGCAGGCCAGGCAGCATCAGAGGAGCAGGAAAGTCGAAGTTTCAGGTTTTCTTCAGGGTCCAGCCCCAAAACGTCAGGTTTCCTGCTGCTTGGCCTACTGTGTTCATCCAGCTCTACATCTTGTTATCTCAGATTCTCCAGCATCGGCAGTTCCTACTATCTCATCACAGTACTGGAGTGTACTGTGAATTGTTTCGTTATTTGGGCTTAAATACGTAAACTTCCATATCAACTTCTACTTCATTTGGGAAGACACTTTAACTTTGCCTTGAAATTACTGAAATCTTGCTCTCTGATTACTCCATTTCAACCATGTGACATGCTTGAGTAATGCTGCTTATTCACAATAGTTCACAGAAGCCTGTTTGGTACCCTTATGGAACCGCTTAAAAGACATAAAGGTCACCTACCTAGACCTGGGTATATTGCATGCCATGGGTACTATTTTGTTATGGGGAGATGGTGACTTTGTTGTAATGTTAATAGACTAGTTTCTAATCTAGAGGGTCCAGCTAATTCTCAGTTGAGACACTGATTCAAATCCTTCAATATTCGCTTCTAGAATTTAAATTCCTGTCATAAATCTGGAATAAAAAGCAAGTCTCAAATCGTGATAGTTTCACAATTGTTAAAACCATCTGGTTCACTAATTTCCTTTTAGGAGCAAAATCTGTCATCCCAACCTGGTCTGATCTACCTGTGACTCCAGACCCACAGCGATGTTGTTGACTCTTAGTGTCCGAAATGGCCTAGCAAGCTACTCCTTTCAAGGGAAAGTAGGGTGGAGAACAAATGCTAACTTTTCTTGCGATACTCAATTCCCATTAAAGAATTAAGGGGTGGGGTGGGGTGGGATGGGTAATATTTAAAAGCTTTCCCTTTCGAGAAGCTTAAATGGTCTTTGGAAGTTAGAATGAAGCTGCCCAAGTTGAGTGCCTGTGACTTCTTTTTACAAAGGGGCTGCTGCTCTGAAATGCATTATTAGGAAACAATGCATACATTTTGTCAACATATTTCCTTTGTCAACTGACTTATTTTTGTGGGGGAAATGTTGCCATCTAGTGAATCTCACCAAAGTCAAATTAGTTTTGAATAAATCTTGTGCCAGAAGTTAGGAATAAACAACCTTGTTATGTAGATGGTATTTTACCCCAAACTACTTTTAAATTTGAAGCTGCTGTGTAAACAAAAGCATTTTTAAGTGGTCAAAGGTTAAATTATGG